TTCTTGGAGGAAAGGTAGAGCAGTAAGAGAGAGACAGGTCTAAAATCCTAAGGATATGTTCAGAGGAGAAGCTTGACCGAAACCACTGATAAGGAAAGCATGCTATAGGTAGAAGGTCCATTCTGACAATTACACACAAGTATACATAGCCTGGGACATGAAGTAGAAAAACTCACACCTGAAGGGATATCAAGTGACAACTTACCAGTGAACGTCCTTGCTTTTTCTGACAAGATTGCTATAAGCTCAGGAGAACTTAGATAACCATTTAAGTCAGGCCTCAGAACAAAGCAAGGATATGATATCCATTCAGTGGCTGTGTTTGCATGACATATTTACCCATGGTTAACCATGATTTAGTCAATCATTGAGTTATAAACTAACCATACTAGTTGCATTAGCAATGGCATTTTAGTTTATGGTGACATGCAAAACCAGGAAATATGTTCCCACAATATATCAAAATGTCTAAGCATGGTTTAATAGATCACGCGTTAAGTCATAAACTAGAATTTAAAAATCATACTGATTGACTTATGACTGTAGTCACACAGTACTCTAAGCCTCAGTGATCTATTCCATGTTGGCTTAGTGTATTATGTGAACTCAGCTGTAACAGTGTGGGAGGCAGTGACATTTTTATAGAGGAGTATCTGCAAATGAGAGCATTAACCCAGCTTTTCTCAACTTTCCAACTCCAAGAGCCATCATGGGTGAAGATAAGGAGTTGTAGTTCAACACATTTGGAGGCTAAGGTGTTAGACTATTAGTAAGTTTCCTTTACCCATAGGAAGTATATTTACATGATGCTTACCATTATTAGCCAAGGTTTAAATAACTCCATTATCTGGGTTCACATGACACACTGAATCATAGACCAAATACACAGACTAGGTTTGAAGAAGGGCCTAGACTAGAATGTATAAACCCACCCGGATTCTCCCTATATAGTCTCCTTTTGCAGTCCAGGGACCAAAAATGAATTAACCATTGTTAAAGGCAAAAGAAACCTGGGTAGTGGCAGTGAATTAATTAACCCACTCCCATTAATTTATCCACCTCTACATTGCCCTTAAGTAGCCAATGCCAGTTTGGAGGACAAAGTGAGATAAAAGGTAGCAATAGGAGATGAATGGATGCTATTGTTAAGAACAGGCACCATTCTTAGGAAGAAAACAAAAAGGCAACATTAGATAAAGGAAGAACATACTCTGAAACTCAGCCCCTCCTATAATAAGGGAAGAACAAAGCAAAACCATATATACTTTTTCTTTTCAGACTTGTACAATTTTAAACATATGCTTTGAAACAAAGCCCCCATTCAGATATTTGTCAAGATGCCAGGCACAGCCAGATAGCCACTTTAAAGTACAATCCACCAGTCCTTGAGCTGGCAGAAGATTAGGTTGGTACAAATTGTGGTGCCCTCATTGCCAGTCTCTATTTTGTCCCAGTAATGAGACTGGAAAGAGCTGCTGACTTTACTGTTTTAATGCAGGACAAATTAATCGGTGAGTTCCCTGACTCATTTTCCCCTCCCTCTGAGATCACCTGCTGGAGGAAAAAACCAATCACCAGTCTGTCTTCTGAATTTATTTATATGCCACCCATCTCCCCCAGAGGGTGACTCTGGGTAGTGTACAATTAAAATGTATATGGGGCAAGTTAAGCAAGTTGCCTGACAGGTTGTGGGATGTGTCTATGTGGAGGTTCTCTACCTGTCAATCAGGGCATTTCTGGACATGTATCTAGCATGCTTCTAAAAGAGTGCTAAACCCATGTCAAAAAATAGCCCAGCTGAGCGGTCACAGTCATAGAACAGGGGTGCAGAATGAAATAGGCAGAAGCTCTTCTAAGCTCCTGCTCGAGGTGCTCCATCCAACTTCACTCCCCTGCCAGCAGCCATGACTTCTTCTCTGGCACTCTCTCCCTGCCGGGCAGAGGGCTGACTCTAGCTCTGGTGACTGGGAGGGGTGGGGGAGAGGAAGGGTGGCTGGAGGGGAATGGAAAATCAAATAACAGTCAGGCGTTCCAAAATCCTGGCTGAAGTGCAGCTTGAAAGTGGATTTCTAGTAGCTGGGCTGGTGACATGAGATTTCTCAGCCATCACTGGAACAGCTTGAAGGAAATGGGCCAGCAGTTTGCCTTCTCTGTGCTACCAGATTAGCAGCGCTCTTATACTCAAACACTGCCTTCCCTATAGTCACAACTATCACCACCAGAGCAACTTATGGCTTCTACATATAATTTTTCCTCTGCACAATTACCTTTCCCTGATCCCAAATATTTCCCCTTTTCAACATAGATGTGGGTGCAGAGGAGTACAGAGATGGCCTTGAAGAAGGTATTCAACAGCTCTTAGGTAAACACCAGATTAGCCCTGAAAGGGAAGAGGGAGTGAGAAAGAAACCCAAGATTGCCCAACCATGATTCTCTTTGATGTAAGAAGGGGGAGAGATCCTCTCTGTCAGGTTTTCAAGATTCTGTTGCTGTATTATATCCTGCAACAATAAAGCAGAGTACGAGTAGCCGTGGTGGTGTCTGTTTCTTGACCAGCCTTCCTTGAAGGGCTGCTAGTGGGGGAAGAGAGAATTAGAACAGAATTAAAATAGGAGGAGAAGGAGGAGAAGGGGTTTATTTGCCCTTGGCCATTTTCAGTCTGGTCCCTTTTTCAAAAGAATGCAATATTTGTGTACATAAGGAGCCTGCAGATAGAGTATATGAAAAAGTATATGGTATATGCGTATATAAGGAGTCTGTGGAACCCCTGACAAGCACTTCAGAAATTTTATGGGCAGCTATTTCTGCAGGAACCAGATGTTTGGTCTTTCCTGAAGCCCAGGCTTAGATGGCCATGTAGTGCAGTGACTGGGGACCTGTTCCCACAGGAGCCACATGTGACCAGTAAGAGCTGGGCAAATCCCAGCCCCTGATTGTGTCATCACCTGCAACATTGCAGAAGCATCATCGATCATATCCGTGGCAAAACCGTGTGTGGAGAAGAGAGAAGACACTTATTTTAAAACTGGAAGAGCTAAAGATGGCTTCAGGCTGCCTTGGGGCTATGGTCTAAAAAAGGAGGCATGCTCATACCTTGGGGGAGGGGAGACATGGGGCTGAGCCTACACAAACTGTTCCTCGCAGGCAAAGTCCGATGGGCTGGTAGCACAGAGTTAAATAGCAGAACTACAGCCACCATCACATGTCACCATCACATGTCACCACAGTAGGAATGCCCAGGTAGCAAAGACTCTCATGACTGGCTCTGAGTATAGACAGTTCTGATTATTTTGTGTATTGTCCAGGGCGATATTGTGATAAGCGAGCGGTTCCCATCTGGACGACGTTCTGTGCCCCCAGGTTATGAATTCATGAAAATAGTAGTGGTGGAGATTGCAACCTGTAGCAGCCCTACAATGTTTATCAAGAAATTAATGGATTTTCAGCCCACTTAAAATGTGGCTACATGAGAGTAGCTTCTACTAACTGCAGAAATGCTGCATGTGCCTCTACGTGTGCCTCCGCAGAGGGAAGCTCTCACCCCAAATACTATCTGCGCAACATCTGAATCTGCAATTTAGTCAGGCTCAGATGAGGCTAGTCCTCTGTGTTGTGTAGTCACACCCAGCCTATTTCCTTATACCATCCCCTTAGCCAAAAATCACCTACACCTAAGCCAAACCCAAATTACGTTATGACTTAAGGACGGTGTTGCATGAACCAGGCCATCCAGTTAAACCACAGCGCGGTCTCTTGGTTCTGGTACAGTTATGTGAGCACCGTAGCATCTTATGTGAACGCAGCCGTGGAAAGAGGGGCACCGAAAGATGCATTTGCTGCGGTCAGCTTGCTGACAGGAGAAAAAAAGCGATGAGCTAATTGGAAGAAGGGTGCTAACATGTTTAAAAAGGCAGCTGTCTGTCCGTCGTCACAAATGTTAAATATTTCATGAAGAGACGTTTACTGTGATACACAGTCGTTGGCCTCCCTGCGCCAAAGGGGTGGCGTGCCTTTGTTTCTGCCGCAACGGCCCGGCCCCGCCAGCCCTTCGGAATGTGCAGCGGCGGCACTCTGCGAGCAGAAAGAGG